CAATCAGACATCTCGACATGTTGATTCACTTTGGACCGATTGCAGTACTTATTTATCTGTCAGTTTCCCGTCACCAGCGCCCCATGGTGTATCTATTCACGGACGGACACTTAACGCTAATACCGACCACGACTCTGCCAAGTTGGAACCCATCTTACCGTCGGCCCCACAAGCGCCCGACGATGCTCTGGCAGAAAAAGCCAATCTCATCCCTACATCCGACACCCCAAAGCAAATGAGAAAACGCAACGACGGAAATTTAACCTCAAACAAGAAAGACCCTCGTACGTCCGACACCGCAAACCAACCTCGAAAATGCAACGACGGAAAACCCCCAGAGGCAACGGCGCTCACCCCGGCAGACGACAACACCGAGACGACCCTCCCAAAGGAACCCGCCCCTAGTGACGATAACACGACCGCCACGGGGCCTCGGGGGACAAAACGGCGCCACCCGATCCGCCACGCGTCCGCCACCGTTTACATCATCATCGCCTGTGTATATATTCTCCGTCTGTTTCTTCACTCTCCTGCAAGTTATCTGTATGTGCTACCCGCCTCTATCATCGTCTTATGCCTCTCCTCGTACCTGCTGCTTTATCTATCGTATTTATTCTCCGCTGTTTTATTTATTTGAGCTTATTACCTCCTTTGGGCTGGTAACTGTACTGGTGTGACTGTACTGGTGTGACTGTACTGGTGTGACTGTACTAGTGGCTTGACTGTACTGGTGATGAATGTCTCAGCAACATGGTAGAGACTCCCTCCTCCCCCCCTCCCTCCCTCTTCCCTACCCCTCCTCCTCCCTACCCTACCCTTCCCTCCTCCCTACCCTTCCCTCCTCCCTACCCCCCCATCCCCCCCCCTTAGTGGGTTATGTTTATTATAACCGTGTGTGTGTGTGTGTGTGTGTTTGTGTGTTTGTTTGTTTGTTTGTTAGTTTGTTTGTTTGTTTGTTTACTAATGTGTTTGTTTTATTTTCCAGATTTTACCAGATTTCTTGACAGATTAATTAAAATTGGATTTATACAATTAAATATAATCTTGACAGTAATTATATGTTCCTCTAAGGTAATTAAGAAGTCCAGGTAATTATTTGGACTAATTATATATCTCTAATCACCATTCATGTAGTTAACTAGACATCCAAATCACATAATCAAAGCTGTAATTACCACATATATAACACTGATCTAATTACAAAATCCATGTAATTACCTGTAGTCCTTAATTACATTCAATATGATTAATAGTTACCCTAATTAAGTGATTATTAAGACCAGATTTATACTGTACCTGTAATAATCGTGTGTTTACTTTACAGCCTTGAGTAAGTACAGGTTGTGTTATGGGTGTGTCCTGGTTGTGTTATGGGTATTTCCTGGTTGTGTTATGGGTATGTACTGCATCTGGGTATTGGTGTATGGCAACACAACTCTTTGACTCTATAGTGAAACCTCCATATAACGCACGGGTGGGGATAGTCCATTGTATCGAGGTCCGTTAAAGGGAGGTTTCACTATATTGGAGTTTTACGGTGATTGTGGGGTCCGTGTTTGTGGGAGTGAACGTCGTGTGGTGGCACCCTAGTGTAAGTCTGTCTGTCTGCGGTGGATGTTGCATGTGGTAGTGTGGTGGTCTCGTGATAACTAGTCATCCCCCACCCCCCCTCTCTCTCTCTCTCGTCTCCTCCACCAAAGAACGTTCCTTACCCTATTTAACCCTAGCCCACCTTACCCCACCCTACCCTACCCCACCCTACCCTACCCCACCCTACCCTACCTCACCCTACCCTACCCCACCCCACACTTGCTTGATCACAGGACGACTCGAGGAACCACACCCTCCCGTCGCCTTACTCCCACACCATCAACTAACAAAATCCACACCCATCTCCTCCTTCTCCTCCACTTATATAGGTAACCAATCATAACCTCAACCTGTCTTAACACTGAGAAGTTAACCAATCATAACCCCATTCCTTCCAATTTCAACGCGAATTTCACCTAGTCAGAACCTCAGTTGTTTGCTCGATGGTTTTTGTGTTAGTTTTAGCCGAGCAATACATATTGAGATTTGTTGTATATTAATATCGTTTAGGGATAGGACAAGGCCACACACACACACACACACACACACACACACACACACACACACACACACACTTGTTTATGTTATTGGCCTTAAGCAATGGCCAGTCCCAATGCCAGAGCGTTTCTTTTACTTAATGTGTGTGTATTGAGGCATTCCTCCCTTGCTGCTGGAGGAAATGAGGCAAAAAGCGAAATGTTGAGAGAGAGAGAGAGAGAGAGAGAGAGAGAGAGAGAGAGAGAGAGGTGAGAGGTGAGAGAGAGGGCGGAATCGGCTGAAATAAAAAAAATACCTGTTATCAAAACCCACCCCATACCCTAAACAAACTCAACGCCCCCCTCTCAATACCCTCTCCGCAGTACAAGACGGAGAAGGACGGGGTACTGGAGACGCGCGTCGAGCAGAAGATCACTATTCAGAGCGACGGAGACCCCATAGACCACGACCGAGCTCTGGCCGATGCCATACAGGAGGCAACTAGTATGAACCCCGACATGACGGTGGAAAAGATCGAGATACAACAACAGTCGACGGAGTGAGGGACGTCGTCGAGGATGTAAATTATAAGGTCGGTCATTGTAACGAGCTCTAGGGGGGTGGTGGTGTGGGGTCTAGGGGGGAGGTAGTAAGATATCGTCCATTAACTTACGATGTTTACGAAAATTCTCCATTAATTGGTTTAGTTTTTCCCACCTGGTTTTATTATAGTATATTAAGGTTTATTTTTAATTCTGTGATATGTGACCTTAAGATATTGGGTCGTCAGGGTGTAATTACCACAATGAATCACTCAGTCATTGTACTGAAGGGGTGAAATTATTGTACTCAAGGGGTTAAGTCATTGTATTCAAGGGGTTAAATCATTGTACTCAAGAAATTTAACTATATAACTCACTGGATTGATATATTTTACTCATGGGGTTTGACATCGTACTCAGTGGTTAGGCATCATACTCAAGAGGCTAAACTTATGCAATTTCTCTCCTTCTAGGTTCCTGCACTGCCTATAGATGTCACCGCTGCTGTATCGAAGAAGACAACAAGATACTGACAGAGAGATAGAGAAGAATCACCCCTATGGAACAAGGCAATTAGGCGCTCAGAACCCTAATGAACCAGTGTGCTAGTTGTATTTCTTTATTTTTTTTGTCTATCTTGTTGATTTGTCGATCTTTCTGTCGCGGATTGCCCCCCAGTTACTTTCAACACGTAGAGGTCCAGTCACTTTTTTTAACTGGTCGACACACGGTTATTTCTCCCGACACACAGTTATCCAGTCCTTACAAGCATCACCACTACCAGTCTCTTCCAGTAACCACCTCTTCACACAGTATTACCCCAAGCATCTCACACCAGGATTCATATTATTTCTCCTACGACGTGCTGGCAAACTTACCAAGACGTAAGCTGTGTTTAGCACGATGGTCTGCCGTATGGCGCTACCCGACGCTATGCCCTACGACACTGTACCGTACGGCGCTATCCGACACTCACACCAGCATTGGGCATCACATGGGCAATCAAATTCTTCTTGAAATGGATGCAAATTTCACAAGCCGCAATTGGTCGAGAAACCGTGTCGATGTCTGTGTGGACCCCCGGGCTACCCCATGACGCAGGTGGACGTAAGCCTCGGGGTGTCATTCTTACTCAACAACGAGTGCGAGGTTTATTATTATTATTGGTTAAAGCACTCGGGAGGTTATCTGTCTGTCTGTATGACTTTCCTCAGTTCAGTGGGACAAGGATTTCGGTACAAGGGAGCTCTTGAGTTAGTGATGTAGATTGTCTAGTTATGTTTAGGTTTAGTTTATGTAAGATTTTCTTCCTCCCTCCCTCCCTCCCTCCCTTCCTTCCTTCCTTCCTTCCTTCCTTCCTTCCTTCCTCCCTTCCTCCCTCCCTCCCTCCCTCCCTCTTGTTATTGCAGCCTAAATTGACTTAATATGTGTAACAATGAAATTAACCTTTGTGATAACTGCAGCTAAATATTATAGTATTTTTCCTAGTGCAACATCATTTACTTGTGCTGCAGCTAAAATCGACTGTATAGCTTATTGTTGCAGCTAAGAATATGTTTGTTATCTCAGAACTGAAAGACTCTCTCTCAAGGTATCACACAATAATTATACCCCCAGCTAAAATAACCTAACAATAATGCCTTAAGATTTATTATAATATATATATATATACGAAGATTAATACCTGTACAGTTTAATTGTCACTAATCCTGGGAGTTTATTTTGGTAAACGAGAGGACGTCAATAACGAGGTGGTACTGAGAGACATTTGGGTGTAGTAACGAGCGATTCTGTGCCCTGGTAATTAGCGGTCTTTGGGGCTTAACCTATGAGAATATTGATGTTATTCTTACTGTAATTAGCTGAAGTGTTTTAATTAGTGGTCTTAGATCCTCAACCTGTGGAAAGTAATTGTTATTGTACCAGTAATGATGTACAGGTGTTCATTAATTAGTTCTATGTTTGATTAGACTATAGAATTGGGTAATTAACCATAAGAATGTCACTAATGAGCTTAAGAGGGTAATTAAAGGTTACATAGGCAATTAACTTGACTAATTACATTTAAACACCATCATTAAGGTGATTAGAAGCCAAATTACTGGAGGGTCGTTAACCTTATCTCATAACGACCATATCGAGAGAGTAATTAGGGTCGGAAATTATCAAATGAATTGTATAACGACCTGATAGTAACGACACTGGTGTTTACAGTCGCCGTAATCGTTCGTTCACGTCCTCTCGTTGTTTATTCGAAGATGTAATTGTTTTTTGTTTTTTTAATTCTGTCAAATATCGGTTTAATTGCAGCTTCATATATGTACATTTGTGTGTCAGTGATCGATGGTCCGCTCACAGCTAGATGGGATAGGGAAATGGTGTTGCCGCAAGAACGTGCTGTGGGCATTGGTGGGGTACAAGATGGACCTATTCCGAGACAGCGTGTGGGTATAGGGTACTTTCCCGAGTGACCCCATAGCTCTCTGGGAGTATGGGGGGGGGGAGGGGGCGTGTTAAGGGTACGGCGGATCTCGTCGTAACCTCGGCCCTCATAGGCTCGTGTGACGTAAAGATCGTTCCTCTATTCGGTCGTTCGCCGCTATGCACGTTTACCGGGTAGTCTGGTCGACGGTGTGTAGTATCTCGCTTATGGGCGCTGTTATTACTTTATTTACTCGCGCTCACAGGGATATGTGCGTAAATTGCTCGCAGTGATGCATTAGGGGGTTGGTGATATGGGTGCCGATGGCGGTAAAACGTGAAGGTTAGATGTGATGTATACTGTCTTGTCTGTCTGTCAGAATCTCACTTTGGATTAACCAACGATCACTCGGAAAAAGCAGTGTGGGCAAATTATGGGTAGTATATGGGTTAATTTGTGACCCATTTTGTTTTTTAAAAGGCTAGATGATGGGTGGAGGTTATGTGAAAAAGGCGTATCGTTGTTTACCGGGTAGTTCGCCGTCGTTCAAGAAAGCGGTAACGACTTAACCGGGAGCCGCGACGCAGACCATTAAACGATCAAATCCTAGCCGTGGGGCGGGAGGGTACGTCGCATAACACGTTGTCCCCCCACCTCAACACCCCATAAGACACCTCCACAAAGAAACAAAAACTACGTCAACGTTTCGTAGCTCCGCGTCGGGCTTCCTCTCCCCTGAACAGAGATAGACCAACGCTGTAGAGGATCTAGTATATGGGGTGAATTAACGGACAATATCACATAATCGGTGGATCAATTTTAGCTTAATTTAAGCGTATATACATATTAGCATCGTGGAAGTGCCTGAGGTGATTGTTGTCGGATAGAGAATTTTAGCGCTAATAACCCCCCACCCCCCCACCCCCCCTCCTAGCCTTAGACCCTAATGGTATTGGTCATTTATTACCACTTGTGCATAAACATCGCCCTTTTCACGTAGGGATTTAGCGTTTTTTTTTTTTAATCGGGTTTTGGGATTAATGGGACGAGAATAATGGAGGTCCGGTCTCTGGTAGTGTTGGTGATAAGGTGATAAAACACACACACACACACACACACACACACACACACACACACACACCAGTATTAAACAAGTACATTAACAAAGGCTGTAGTATTATCACCACCAGAGAGTCACCCCCATACTGTAGTGAATTTACCATTAGTCGTAAGCATAATGATAGAGAATAACGTTGCCGAGGATAAACGGCCGATGCCCGCGGGTTGGGGCACCGACTCGAGGGGCGGTGGTCTGGGGTCCTCGGGCCGGAGGGAACCGTCGCGCTCGGGAGGAATATTTTGTCTTTCGTCGTTCGTGTCCGGGGTCACAAGTGCCTGCCGCCGCTACACCCGATCGCCCTCCGGGTGTCGTCCGGTCGGCGTAGATGGGAACGGAAGTTGTAGCAGTAATGGGCGTGATTATCGCCAACGCCCGATGGACCGTAAGTTTGTCCTCTGGGGGTGTGAGGTATATATTTGTCCTTCTCTTCGTGTCGCGCGCCCGCTTGCTATCGTCTCATTTCTCGCGCTTGACGGCTCTCGTCTCGGCGCGCGACGCTAAACAGTTTGTAAGGATTTCTGTCGTGATGATCGACGCCATTTTTCATTATGCATCGAGTAGTGCAGCGCTTGACGTCGTGAGTCGCCCTCGATGGGGTCGAGTGAGAACTACGGTCGAGGCTCCAGTAACAGAGGCACGTAATCTAACCTGAAGTCTATATTAGGCTCATTAATGCCACACTTGACCTGGCTCGACCTGGCCTGGTGATACAACACACTCGACCCGGCTTAGTGGTAAGACACACACTTGACCTGGCCCGGTGGTACAACACACTCGACCTGGCCCGGTAACAACCAGCTTGCACATCTCTTCACAAATACTTGACCCTTAAACAGCGGCCAAATCAGCGAGAATTTTCCCATTAACCACATCCCAATTACTGTATCTGGTAGGGGGGGGGGGTGATCCTCGGTCGCTGATTAAGGGATAAGACTAATTCAACTTCAATGACCTAAACACCAACTCTAAATACATCAACTACAGTACATGTAATTAGAGACAGTACGAATCACCTTATTAACAAAACCAGACCGCAGCTACGGTGATTAGTCGTCGATCTTGCCTTCACCTATAGACCTGGGGAAGGAAACACCTCAACAGAATTAATCAAGTTAAGGTAGATATATATAGTATATATTGTACAGTACATAGGAACACTTGTCAGTCGGTTTAAGTATATTGAGTTGAGAAGATCTTGCCGCGAGCAGCTTATAGTGTTGGTCTAAGCTTTTTTTTATTATGGAGTATTTGGGGAAGATTCCTTTAGGGTTAAGTTATTATTTGTTTACTTTTTCGTGGTCGTGCATTCGTCGCCGGTGCGTGAGGTCGGCCCGGTCGTTGGAGGGAACGTCGTTTTAGGATAGAGGCGGTCGGCCGGACTCGACGAACGCGCGGTAGTACCGGAGTTTATATTTTACCGTAGGCTAGGTTAGGAATGACTGAGCCTCGTATGACGTTCCTCCACCACCCTACCCCTCAGAGTGCGATTATTAGAGCCTTAGTGTTTACGATCCATCAGATATAACGTTTATTACCTGTTCCAATTATTTTTTATTTCGTTGGGGAAGACTTACACTAGGGCTAGAGTCGATGGGTCTCTTACCGTAAGTGTAGAAATATGTGAATCTCTTGGAGCGTTATCTATTGCACGGTCAGGGTTGTGTGTGTGTCTGTCTGTGTACCAGCTGAGTCCTCCCCTCCCCCTACCCCTCCCCCTACCCCTCCCCCTACCCCTACTCCAAGACTTTCTATCAACCTCCACTACCACACTATCAAGGGGAGGAGGAGGAGGCTGTTAAGATGTACCACAGAGCTATTGGTTAAGGGGGTCAAATACCACATCTGTTTATGCATTTGTCATTGAAGACTTTTACATTATTTTGGTTAATATATTAAATTTATGTATTAATTTATCACATGGAAGGTTTATTAGTCTTTAATAGGTTAGGTTATCGATGTACTCAACCTCTGGGTATATCGCAGCGTACTGGTACATCTTGACACACTTAGCATTGGTATATCCTGTTGTACTCAGTTCTGGGTACATTCAGACTTACTCAGTACTGGTTCATCTCAATGTACTCAGCACTGATTACAACCCCTGTATTTTCACTCTGCTGTTTCTCATTATTCCACGCATCTTCACCGCTATGAGAACACATCTTGTGAGAACAGCTTGTTTACATTACCAAGATAAACCTAAAGTAAACCAATGTTAAACCCTGTAATCATTTATTTCATTCTTTATAAAACACAATAAATGTTTAGGTAAGTTTAATTTATTATTTTATTTTACCCTTATTTGAGTTTGGGGTTTTTTTTGGTGTGTAAGTTTGATAGTTTAAACAAGTGTAAATCAACATTGTATCTTACTGAATAAAAAGACAAATTGTGGTGATTTTTGCTGTTGACTTTAGCGATTTGTACAACAAGTTACATGTGGGATTTTTTATAGTCAATAATGAGGTCATGAGACACCCTGTACATGTGTGTGTGTGAACTATGAGACCCTGTACATGTGTGTGTGTGTGTGTGAGGGTGAACTATGAGACACCCTGTACATGTGTGTGTGAACTATGAGACACCTGTACATGTGTGTGAGAGTGAACTATAACACACCTGTACATGTGTGTGAATTATAACACACCCTGTACATGTGTGTGGGGACCATAAGACACCCTGTACATGTGTGTGTGAACTATGAGACCCTGTACATGTGTGTGTGTGTGAACTATGCACCTGTACATGTGTGTGTGTGGTGTGTGTGAGGTGAACTATAAGACAC